AAGCACAAGGAGAACTAAAACATAAGTGTAAAAGTTTATTACTATTGCACAAAAATGAATCGCAATGTTAAAGACCTCTTTTTCCTTAACAAAACACATTGCAATAGAACCATATCTAAAAGATTTACCTCCTCACAGATATTAAATGGTCTCATACAACAAAACTGAGAAACTCCAGAAGTATATACTTAACCCTCCCCCTAAAACAATGATGGCTTTATTTAACACGCAGGTGATCTGTATAAAATCAATCTATCCATGCTGAAGCAACATGGACAAAGTTGAATACAGATAGTAAGGTCAGAAACTATGTAGGAACAATCAGCGTAAAAAGTAGAAATATCGACCTTCAATCTATAGAGCATCTCATCGCTCCAATTGTTCTCCTAGTTACAATCTAAGAGTTGTGAATACGTCAACTTACAAAGTAGGATATTTATTTAGTTATATTGGTATAATCCTCTTGAAACTGAACAGAAGGTACAATTTCCCAACTTTACAAACCTAAAATTAATAAAGTCAAACTTCCATAAATATATGTCTTCAATATGAAAAACTCATATGATCATAAAGAGTTATAACTCAGAAACATAATATTTTTTTCTCTCTAGTTCGAAACCAAGCTTCTCAGTTTTATTCTCAAAATTCATTTATGACTTTAACAGTTAATTAATGCTCCAGATTCAGAGCAATCCGTGGCTAGTAATTGTAATTTTTTATTGGAAAACAAATATTACAACTTGAAATGGAGTTTGAGGCAAATTGTGCCATAAGCAGATTTTCTTTAAGTGGCTAAAACAAAGTGTTTAAAAAGCAAGTAACAAAAAATGGTTTTCTGGTAGCAGGGACCAGCCAGTACAAAAAAATAGTGTACGAGGGTACCTGGGATAAAATACACCCGTTTTGGCAATATGTGCAGACTTTAAGAAATATTGTTGAACTGGTCCAGTAGTCCACGCAGAGTTACAGACTCCACTACTTCACAACAACAGCTGGCTGACAGTTCCTAAGAAAACTACTTTAAAAAGGCATACACCAGATGTTCCCTTCATGTTACCAACTCCATCTAGAGTTTAGATGTCAGAAGGGCTATAGATATATCCAGAGTAAGCCACAATGCCAAATGTTACTTGATCATTTTCTAAAATAAGGTTTCAGGACAATGACAGTAAGATAAGGGAAGAAAACATGGAGGAATGAAGTCCTAATTACTATACATGCATATTTTTTTGACAGTAGGGAGAAACCTTTTACAGATAAGTTACAAACAAAGAAAAGGCAAATAAACAATTTTGTACAAGAAATTTAACACATTCTGTACAACGTCTTCACTTTGCTGTCATCATTTGTACAAACTCTGAAAAAGAAAAAGTACATAAAAGTTGAGTCAATGGCCAAAAACTGACAAAACCAATCACATTTACTGAGCCACTGAGCAGCCTCCATTCCCCTTTCTCTTTCCTCAGAATTATCATGAAGTACAGAGGCTGGAATTTCATAAACCACAATTATTCACTGTTAGTAATAAATAAGCCAAATTAATGCTTTAGATAAGCTATTATAAAAAGAAACATTCTTAGCTCTATTTTAGTGTAGACTTGAATTTTAAGTTACTGGATTACAGGTCAATATGGTAACTGCAGTGCTATAACCTAGGTTCAACTTTCGGAATGTTAAATTTTCTAAGTTATGTTGTGAAAAAATATAAGGCAAAGGTTTTACTGGAAATCTTTTAATTTCCACATCTTGCTTCCTGCTATGGCCATCCCAAAGCTTACAGTCAGGTGATACTTCAGAATTGAAGTGTACAGGAAACAGTTTCAGGCTCAAGCCGATTTGAGGAAAAAAGAGAATCCAGTGGATTCAGAGGAAATAAGTCATCTTAATTTCATTTTAGGAAATTCAGGAAAAGTTTGATGCTTTCCAAACTATTCCAAAAATTGTACAGTGCTTCCCAAACTTTAATGTTAATATGAATCACCCAGGAATCTTATTAAAATGCAGATTCTAGATGTAGGAGTGGAACCTGAAAATAGTGAATATTTCTAAAAAGTTCTCAGGTGAGACAGTGATATTGCCTAGTCTGCAGACAACACTCTGAATAGCAAAAGGTTAATAAAAATACAAGGAACTGTTTTAGCATCCCTATTTTTTTTTGGAGGTGGGGGGAGTCATTAATTGAGCTATTAGAAGCACCTTTAACTTAAAAATTAAAGCACAGAATGAGGCAGTGAGAGTGACTTACCTTCATAGTTTACTTGACCATCACCATCAATATCTGCTTCCCTGATCATTTCATCAACCTCTTCATCTGTTAACTTCTCTCCAAGGTTTGTCATC